AACCTCATTAAACCCACCTAAATTCACCTCTGCCTACTTGCCTCTGCTTTTGGTTCCTGAATCCACATCAAATCCTGACACTTACTTTTCAAAAGAAAATTTGCAATTATTCCACTACATCAGACTCACCACCGGTAAGTGAAAAAGGGGAGGAGCACGTAGGACGGCCTTATTTAAACATATAACCAGAATGATTGACAATTAGGAGGACCACTTATTTTGATGATCCACCCGGAAAAAGAACATCCTCCACTATATCTTTAAGACAGGGACAGCAGGATGATCACTCTGAATGTACAGCCTGAGAAAAAACATGGAGTGGTGCAGGTCAAGGTATTAACATGTATTTAAATGGTCTACTTAAAGTCCAAACCAAAATCCCCCTGAGAATATCTTGTAAAATATTTGATGATCACTATCCAATCTGGTTAAGGTTGAACATTTTTAAAATGTAGAGCATAACCCCAAAAGAACTGAAGCCGTTACTGCAATGAATGGAAGTTCTATAAAGTATTGATTCAGGCCTTCTTTGTTCTTAATGTCACAAAATATTTCAAAGGTTCCAGAATATCAACACTTTTGTACGGCATGTAAAAGGGAATCATTTTTTTTCTCTCCTGTTATTGCGTCAGCACTCTTGTCTTGTCTTTACACACTGACCCTGAACTTATCAGGAGAGTCCAGGTGTAAAGTCTTCTTCAGGTCCTCGGACGCCCCGGCACAAAGCCTGTAGAAGATGTGGTAGTTCCTCTCCTCATTGCTTTGCATACAGATCCTGGATTTCTCCAACAAGTAATGGGAGACGAATCCACCCACAACAGCATTCTAATGACACACGAGAAAAGTTACGTTTTAATAGGAATTATCAATCAGAAAAAAGAAAAAAAAAATCAGCCACCAAGACTTACCTTGTCATTAAAGTGAATTTCTACAAACTTCCCAAAGCGACTGCTGTTGTTGTTCCGGACAGTTTTTGCATTTCCAAACGCCTCCAGAAGAGGATTGGCTGTTGTATAATGCAGAAAAAGAAGAATCAGAATGACGTCATCAGAAATGAACAGACCTATAATCCATCAGCAACATGGTGAAAGATTACCTTCTACAATTCTTTCATCAATATCTTGACCGCTGCCATATGTTGTTGTCAGGTACCTACAGGGGTTCACATAGAAGCACAGATGGCACAAGTTTACTTTGCAAAGCACCAATGCTGTGTCAATAAAGACATACGTATAAAGGACAACATTATTTCAGGCGCAGCTTGTTATTTTGCAAATATTATGGCAGCTGTCAGAGAAGTAGTGTTTTCTTTTCAACATCATTTCCCATTTTAAGGCTACAGCAGATTTTATTTTCTCCCTGTGTTCTTTAGGTATGTAAATATTTCTCTGTTTGGTTTGCACTCTTACAGCCAAAGGAGCAACTTAAGGCTGTAGAGGTCCAGATTTAAAATAATTCATTAAGGCTGTTCTCTAAAAGATGAACTTAATCTGAGTTTAGTTACAGTTTTAGTAAGATGTTGTTTAATGACATAAAATGACATATAACATAATAATGACATAATAATAGTGTTTAAAAGATGAAACAATGCTCCTGGTTAAAATACAGTCCCATGCACAGGTAGGCCTTCAACCTTTTTCACATTTTATAATGCCAAATTCTAATTTAGCTATTTCGATGCTGAGTGATGAACCACCAAATATGAGTGCATAATTATGAAGAGGAAGGAAAATAATTCCTTAAAGATCCGAAAATCCGAAATGAGAGGCATGCATTTGAATTCAACCCTTCTAAGTCAAGACTTTACATAAACACCTTATGCTACAGCTACATCTGGAGACTACGCTTTTTGCCCTTCAGAGTTTGTAAAAAAGTAACCAAGTACGACTGGATGGAAAGCATCTCTGTAGTGCTGTAATTTAAGCGGGCCATCCTAACATCCTAACTCGGTGGTCCATGTGTGTACAGGCAATTTATTTTTCCAATCTCTAGAGTTGAAAAACAAAGACAGGTTCACAGATGGTCCAGAAGTGTGGCTAAATATGCGTAAAAGTGGGGGTTAATCACAGGTTATTGCAGGAACTTCTTAAATGTTTCCATGAGCTGTGAAGTATAACCTTATTGCTAAGCCATCCCTTACCCTAACCCTTAAACCTAAACTCCTAAAGTTTCAAAACTTTGTATGATAAAAAAAACAAAAAAAAAAACAATTTGTCATACGTCTCGTGATACAATCAGAACCAGAAATATTACCCTGTGCTCGGGTACCAAGCGTCAATTTATGAGGAGTTGGGCGTGACAATGTGTCGTTATTATATGCAGCCCAATAATTAATCTAATGTGCACAGATTCTAACTCAAACGGTTGTTAATATGGCTACCTGACCAAGCTAAAAGAAGCTCACCTCTTAGCTTTTGAGCACACATAGCGCTACCCAGCTCTCCCCTTTATACCACGGTCTTGCAGTTACTTGAACCGACACACTTGACACGCTAACCTTACAGATAATCCCCACTCAGCACATGGACGCTGAATTGTTATTATCATTTTCTGGGCAACCACAATGTTACAGGTCATGTGGCAACATTCAGCCAATCATAATGTAACTTCACTGGCATGTGTAGGCCCCGAGCAGATCTGGTACTAGGGTTGTCAAAAGTATTGATACTCCAAAAAGTATCGATACTGAAATGTTGTATCCGGATACAATACTTGTTTTTAAAAAGTATCGATACAGTGCCGTCACCAGTGGCACCTAAGCAGTCATTCATCTATAGTGCAGAATAGAGGACAATGCACTTTCAGAACACTGTGTGATTGAATAATTCTACGCACTTTTTAGTTTCAGACTTTTTTGTAAGAGGTGCAGCTGCAGAGAATTATTTTTGTTTCTTAACTGGTTTGGCTAGTGTCATTGTTATGTGTGCAAAGCATAGCCAAGGAAGGAAAACTTAATTTTAATTTAGTAAGTTTTTTATCAAGCTTGCTTGATATTGTGCACAGCATACAACCTTTATTGTATTTTTATTTATTGTACTTTATTTATTAATGAAAATATTTCTGTAGAATTTTGGAGTCTTTGTTTTTATCCTTGTGGTATCGAAAATGGTATCGAGTATCAAATATTTTCCTTAGTATCGGTATCGAGTTGAAAAGTTTAGTATCATGACAACCCTATCTGGTACCTAATCCGGTAGCGAAGGAAATCCCTGCTGAAAGCTCTCAGCTGCAGGATTTGGGGGATTTCTGCCATTTGTAGCGCCTGGAAGTGAATATAAAGGGTTTTTAATTGTTGTCGTGTCAAACAGAATATACCAACTGGTAGTTCTGGTTGGCAGGTTTGAAAATGTTTCAGTTAATTTGGGTATTTATTATCTTTTAGGCCATAGTTTGTGTGCAACAACAATGATCAGAGCTTGCTCTTTTTTCCTTGTACATAACAATCCATTCTCCCCTTTTTTTAGTTGTTTTTTTTTTAATAAACTTTAACTCTATTTCCTTTCCATATGCAAACAGCTCTGCAGAAGTGATAACAGCATGCATATAGTGTCTGTCTCCCCCCAAAAAACTTCTGCATCAGCTTTGCTGATTGGCTGATGCTCCTCTGGTGTAAAGCAGCAAAGGTTCCATTGGAAGCTCTGACCCTCTGGACCTCTCGACTGCGTCCCCCATAGACTTTGCATGTAAATCAGATGCTTTGATGCCCAAAAGACTTTTAGTGTGAACACACCATTACATCTCCCCACAGCTTTCTTTCCTAAGCTGTTTGTTGTGGTTCTTCTACTTTAGGAGGCTGATTTTTCTCTAATTTAATCTAAAAGGACCATATTTTAACAGAAAACGAGTTAAAACACAAATGCACAGTTAATTTTTTTTATTTATATCCTTTTCAAACATTTAACAATTGCTCATCTTCGCCGATGCCAATTTACTACTTTGTCTTGGTGAAGACATATAATCCAAATAAAATACCTGAAAGCTTATGGTTGTATCATTACTCAATGGAAAAATGTTGTCAGGAATAGAAACTGTTTTGTAAAGTTCTGCTTAACTGCTACAAAAACAGACACCCTGATATAAACACACTGAATTAGAAAGGATTCGTCAGGGAAAAGGAAACTGATTCATGTGGAGGTATACGGTACCTGAGAACAAACTTGGTGTTTTCCGTCTTTCCAGCACCAGATTCACCAGACACTATGATGGATTGGCTGATCTTTAAAACCTTCATGTCTCTGTAGGCTTTATCCGCTAAAACAAAGCAGATTTAAGGCAGATTATAGAATGTGGCATTATGCATGCTCATTACAAGAGGCTCATTACATGTACTAACCAAAATATAGCAAAAAATGTATAGATTTATAGCAACTAACCAACAATAACACCTGGTTGAGAAGGTTTTCAGCAATGGATTTAGACTGAATCTTTTCCCTCCTTGCTGTCTGTGTGCATGTTTCTGCTGCATGGCTGCTCGGTGCCAATCTTACTTGTTGGCAGGAAGTTCAAAGTTTGCATGCCGCTTTTGAAAACATTAACCTTTACAATGCAGCTCAGCCTTACAGGTGTGAGCCCTCACCTATAGCATAGACGTGGGGTGGCAGAGTTCCCAGGGATTTTCCTTGGTAGGACTTGATGGCATCAGGACCGTACAGCTTTGGTACCTCATAGTAAGGATTAACAGCTATCAGGATATTTGCCACATAAGTCTGCAAGAAATACAAAAGGAAACTAAATTAGTGTCACCATGATGCATTATTTAGACTACTAAAAAACAAAAGTAAAAAACAATAACAGAGGTGAAATAGATGCTTGAAAACTAACAAAACACTGTCAACCTTTATCAGGTTATGAATTTTTTATCTACCACCTGTTTCTAATTTCTTAAGTAACTGGGGTGAAGGCAGGGTTTCCCAGTCTGACCCGTATTTGACCCCCCCGCAGTACCACCTGGTCATTCCTCCCAAGGGAGTCGAAAACAGGGATCTAATCTCTCAGCTCTACAACCTGCAGCTTAATCTGAATAACCAGCAATATTGAGATAACGTAGAGATAAATGCAGGAACTGTTTGGAACCTCAAAAATGTAATCCTTTTCTGATCGGTTAACACACCATACCTGACCTGAAAGAGAACTCTTACCCTGTTGTAAATGAGGGATATTAGCTACAATTGATATCAGTAAGCTGTTTGAAATGAAGTCAGGAGGCTTAGTTTTAAAATAACAGCGTTTTTAACATGCTTAGATATTTTTAGGCTTCCTTCAACCTGCGAAGCAGAAAGAGAGCAAGAATTCGACACCAAGAAAGGAAGGCTTAACGAGTTTGATCAATTAGACCTTTTCATTAAGGATGTCCCAATCTGACATTTAAATAAAAAAAAATAAACGTATTTTTTTTTTCTTTTAAATCGCTCCAATACCATCAGATAAAAAAAAAAAAAAAAAAAGAATATCAGAGAATATCGGCCTACATCTAAGATATTCGATACTGTGCTCTATTTAAAGGAGTGGGTTGATGTTTCCATGCCAATATTCTTATAAATTATCTCTCTCTGCTTGAGTAATATCACCTGATCAAGCCTTTTCTAATGTTATGGTTAAAATTTAAAAAATAATAGTATTAAATAATAAAAAGTATATATCTATGTTATTACGATACGGGGATGATATCGGTATCAGTTAACACTTGAAACTGCAACATTGATATCGTATTGGAAATAAAAAAAGTTGAATTTGGAAATCCTTCATTTTTTGTTCGTTTAGTTTTCATTAGCAGCCTTTATTTTTATTTATTTTTAAGTTCAGGTCGGTCATTGTTTATATCTATTAGGTCTGAAAATCATCGAAAAAAACATAATTGAGAAAAAAAAAATTCGAATTTGTAAAATTTTCAATGTATAAAACCCAGATGGAGGATCCCACTCTAAAAACTATAAGAATTTGCTTTTATTTACTTGATTCTTTTTCTACTATTCATAATTTGTTCATTTTCCCTTGCTTGATGATCTCTATCCCTAATCCATAAATCTCCATCTTCATCTAGATCTATAAATCTAGGTCGTCTACCAATTATCAGTTTATTTATTCTCTTTGTTATTTACAGAGTTTGGAAAAAAAAACATTGGATTAAATGAGATAAAAGTCTTTGATAGGAGAACTGCACTTACATTGTTTAATATTGTAGATCTCAAAGAAAAATCGAATAAATGAAAAATCAGCATCAGGAGGTAAAAACTTTGCAAAGATTATGAATAGAAAATTAGTCCCCAACATTTCTGTTAAATAAGACGTCAGTGTGTTAACTACGGTTTTTCTAAGTTTTTAAATGAACCTGAGAAAAGAACATACGTAAATATGGTCCTTATTGTATCGGACTCTGACGTTGTTGAGGAGAGTGGCTTCATTTAGGTACATAAGAGAACCTGCAGAGAGAGAAAAAGAACAAATTATAAAGGCAAGCTTGCACAAAAAAATAAATAAATAAATAAACCGAAAAAACAAGAAACAGACTTACAGTTGTCATCGACAATTTTGTTAACGTCATCCTCTGCTGGGAAGACCTGGCTCATCGGAGCAAGAAGCGTCTGTAACATGAATCGCATCAGTAATGGCAGCGTTTACACCATGACATTTGCAAGACAGAAAAAAAGGTTCAATTAGGTGGTTCAATTAGACTGAATATTATCTGTTTACTTCACTAATAGATTATTTAACATTTACTCGTCACTGGGAAACATTTAGATCAGTTTGAAAAGCAAGATCTATGAGTTACAAATGGGGAAAAGCAAATGAAAAAGGCCAAACCCTGACAGACGTATCATTATTAAAGACGGCTGTAATGATGTTCAGTGAGTTAATTACTGCTGCCCTCACTCTATTGTTTCTGAGTCTGAGTCAATGGAAATAAACTAAATGGAACGAGGCGACTGCGAGAGAAACAAGCGAGGGACATGGCAGTGTGATAAATTATTTGGAGGGAGAGCAACAAGATCTGAACACCTGACTGAGTCTGTGTGTATGAGGCTGGGAGAAGACGATGATGAAGCTCACGGGAAACAATAAGGCTGCTCTTCTCCTGGTCAACTGACTCCAACATTTAAAAATATATATATATTAACAGACAAATCAATCAAGGTCTTCATTTATTTGCAGTAATTGCTTGTGTTTCCATTATATTTAATGATTTGCACCATCCTATTTTTATATTAATGCTTGTCAAATAAACATAATCCAAAGCACAATGGTGCATGGTTTATTACCAGTGGGAGCCAGCGATCATAAACAAGCAGAGCTTTGTGTGCCTCATGGAGGATGTTGGCACAAACACAGACATGGTCAGCCGCACTAACAACTGTGTGAATAATGTCTAACCAGTAAAATTTGCTGCAAAAACAGAAGCACTAATGAGTCTGCTGGGGAAAAGGGGGACATGAATGGGAGAACTTGCAAAACAAAACAAAAAATTAAAGAATAATATTTGTCTGTCTGGTAGAAATCTTTACAAACCAATATGCTTTTTAATTCATCTTGGAAAAAAACATTTATATTCAGAGAAAATTTTATAAGCTGGATTAAAACAAGCAGGTGGTTTGCAAATCAATAATTTTCATAAAGCAGTAAAGCTGGAATAAATGACGCCACACCAGCTTCTCTAGAACTAATTAAACAAAATATCTGATGTAAAATATGTAAATCCAGCAGCTTAGCTTTCCTTAAAACATACAGTGAACAAGGCTTAGTTCTGCCTTAGTTTCCATTTTACTTGTCAATTCCACATACAAGTAAAAAGAAATCAAATAGGGGTTATAAAAAAGCACATTTATTTAATTTTATTATTAATTTAATCTATTTTACACATTCAGTTATATATCTGATCGTTTTTTATTTCTTTTTTAAGGTTTGATGATTTTTTTATAGCTCATAAAATAGAAAAACGACATTTTCCCAGACATCTGCTGAAAAGTCTCTGATTTTGGTTGGATTTACCACAAACTGGCGCTTCGTCCTGGACATGTCTGTCTGAGGCAGCTTTTCAAGATCGGACTACAAACAATGAACTTAAGGCTGCAGTCGTTCCTGTTGCCTAGGACTATTTTTGAACTTTTTTTTTTTTTCAAAAAAACTTTCCTTTTATGGCTTTGGATACAGCACTATATAAGTAGCTAGCTTCTAAACACTTTTTTTTTTCCATGAATGCGAAGACAACTAAACA